AGATCGGCTAGAACTGTACAGTACTAGACGAAAATGTTTAGCAATTTCTTAAAACAAAAATGTATATAAATTAACAATAGAAAACAAAGCAAAAGTTTTATAGGTGTGTAGAACGTTAAGTTAATTCACTTGTTATTATTTTTGGCTAAACACGCTTTTAAAAAAAGCATATTCTTAAATTTTAACGGGGCAGTTTAAATAATTTTGCAAATGGTACTGTACACTTTTGTCTAGTTCTCGCTCGATGATCGGTGGAGAAATGAGCTCCGCAGAAAAATATGATTGAATTTGGAATTATGCTACGGCGCATCCTAATAATGGGAAAGGGCATATCTCTAACTTATTGAAACGAACAGTACCTGTCGTAATCAGCCTTGCAGTACAGTTTGGTGTTTCTTGTGTAACAGGAATGATTGAGGGGCACCCTGCAGACACAGCACACTAGACAGTGCTCGTGCCAGCTCGCGTCTGCCACCCTCATCAGGTACCGATCGTGGATCTTCTGGCCGCAGCCCTCGCAGATCTCATACGTCTTTTCGCATTTTATTAGGTGGCCTCCGCCTCTGATGCCACCCCCGCCACCGCCGCCGCCGACGTCTCCCGTGCCCAGGTTGCCCACGACGACCCCGTCTGTAACAAACATCCGTTTCACCGTTTTATTAATGTAACGTATTCCACCTTTGAAACAGTTTCAAAATGGTTCGGATAATAAGGGCATTATTTTTACTCTAATATAAGATTGAATCCGGTCCTGGCTCTGGTTGTAGTCTCTCCTAAATAATTGTTCAAAATGTATTAACGGGCTACGTATTTATACTTTACATATGTATAACACAGAATTAAATACATCACAACTGTTTTCTACTATGGTAATATTTTATGAAAATTTAACTTCTGACAGATGAACATCCTTTATTGTTATCATACTTATTGCAATGATACCTGATAAAAATAAATACCATGCGGAAGATTTCTACAGGGACTATGATAGAACACGAAATTACTAACAGGCAAAATAAAGAATTTTTTTGAATAAGTACCCAATACAGGTAACTCAAAAACTAATTAATTTGCCAAGAAAAAGGTTTTTATTAAATGAATACTAACAACCAATGTTTCGACCACAATTCATAGGTTTCTTTACTTCAAAAAGCGTCTGGATCAGATAGAAACATTTGAGTCTAGAAATGGGCTTAGGTAATCATCAAGCGACCAGAAATGGTCCTGATGGAGTTACCCTGTGTGGACTTGATTTAAGTCACATTTTTTGCCATTGATCTAGGTTCAGTCTTAGTAGGGCTCTCCGACATCAAGACCAAAACAGTCTAAATAGGTTCAGATAGGGTATCACCATTAGGGCAGAACAAGGTAATAGAGGATTGAAATGACACGTCAGTCTTAATAAGAAATGTCGTAAAAGGAAACTTAGTTTAAGAATTTTTAGAATAAGTTCAATAGTTGCAGAAGTTAACCCCTAGATAGTCAAGATTTATAGATAATAAATTACAAATATATTATTCCTAAATTCAAATAATTCCAAAGAAAATATTTATCAGTATTTCCGATTTAAATGCTAAGCTAAAGTTGTTTATTACATTTTTTATCAAGATATCATGCTTTGAAATCGTCCCTTTCTTATGCCTATTATTACGCCAGATATATTGGGGTAGGTGATCAATTTATAAGTTGCGAAGTGTCACAATTACGTTTTCTTCAGTAAGCAGCAAATTGTTCGTCACACGTAACCCTCTATTATATCATCCATCCCCAACATTTTTTCATCACCCTTTTTTCACGGCTCCTTAGCCACCACGCTAATGGATCACAATGCGTTAAGAACAAATCGCGCCATTATCATTCCCTTGCTCTCCAACGCGAAATTAAGTTTATTATCATGCAGGAAACCTTGGAAACGGTAAAACCTTTTCTTTGTTCGAATTTCGACACCGGTGAGCAAACACACTTAGACCTTCGGATCAGGATCAGTCATTAGAGTCCTTCCGGGAGGTGCTTGATGCGCACTCTTAAGCACATTTTATACTTTTTCCACGACGCGATGCCCGGAAAACTTTAAATAACGGTCGTGCTCGGAATTAGGAATAAAGAAATGAGAATATTGGAGGTAACTCAGAAAGATTGTTAAAGCTTATTATTTCACATTATGCAGAATTCCATTTTCACTACAATTTCATTGAATTTGTTTATTTAAATCAACAAATTTGATTGCTATTTTGTTTTACCCTAACACAGGGTCATTGCCCATGAATCAAATATAATGAAAATTTATTTGGACTGAAAAAGTTAAAACGTTTGAAACTTTATCAGACGGAGGAAACTTTCACATAAAACATTTTCATTTTTCTTAAGAATTTATATCGGATAAGCGCTACCTATTACCGTTAAGTTTGTTTTTACACATGAACAAAATTTGGATGCTATTGTTTCATCCCAAAAGGACATTAGTTTTCTTTTATGTACAACAAATGTCATTTCTTTTAAGATTATTTCTAAAACACCCTGTAAGTTCCTTCACGTTTATGCATGAAATGCAGCAAATATTGTTGGCATCTTTCGAGAAATAAGTCAGTCCTAGATAATTGAAGAGTCTTGTTTTGTTATAAGGAAAACGTAGAAAAGATTTCCACGAAAAAAAATTTTGAATTTTAAATAAACCCCAAAAGAAATGGCAAACTTTATTTCCGTTGCCCAACATAAGAATGTTACGTTATACAAGAATCTTGTTAAAAAATGGTTATTCTTGACCAAAGGAATTAAACAGGATCATGTCAATTATTTACCATATATTTTACGAATAACTCCTTAACATTAGCATTTAGATACACCTTTTCTTTCTAAAATATCTCAAGTAAAAGACACCGGATTCATACTACTAAATGATGAGTGCTTTTGTCATCTTTACCGCCTGTTCTGCTGCAGTCCATTCCTGGGACGCTGTTGTGGTCTGGCAGCATGGTGGTGTTAAGATTTAAATGCCGGTAAAACTCTAACATATTACAACCCCAATCCGCACAAACTTTATTTATTATTAAACACTTCAATTGCACACCACTCTCTTGCTGTTCAAGTTCTATCCGAAATACGCGCACAGTCCCGTAAATGGATTTAGCAGGAGCATGTCACAACGACGACAAACTTTTGAAGATCCTGAAAAACATGCATGCAGTGTCGTCAGTTAGGTAAACTATAATACTATAGATTGTCACTGACAGCAGATATCGCGATATCAGCAGCGATTTTGCGCCCCATCCGCCCCCTTGGGGACGGGCACGAAGCCTCCCGATTCCTACGCGAGGGATGTGTAGTTCCAGGCTGACGAGGAACGGGAAAAGGCGTGCGCCATGCCATTGGGCGGAACCCTGTTCATCCCTACCAAAGGATGCAGGATAAAACGCAGAATCGTCTGCGCATTCTAAGACTATACCTGACCCGATATTTGTCCTCTTTTTGATGGGATTTTTATGTTATCACAGGCGCAGCAATTGAAACAGGACTCCCAGTCCAATACTCGTGAAAACGATCTCTCTCTCTCTCTCTAGTGTCTGTATTTATTACCTACATTAAACTAGACTTAACACAAACTAACATTTCCAACAGGAATCTTTAACAAAATGCCTCATTGGCAACATTAACGCACATCAAAATCGCTAGGAATCCACACTCGAAATATAAAAGTTAAAAAACTTTTTATATACATATTCAAATAGATATCAAACCCTTAGACTATCTAGTACCCTAAAAGCTCACGACTTACTGAATTTCTAGTGANCCAAAAAAAAAAAAAATTAACCACTTTTGTAGCCTATTATCTATGTATTATACACCTAATAGAGATATATGTGTGAAACTGTATAACACAGAAGCGAAACCACAAAAGCATTTGCTGAAGTATTTCAAAATAAAGGACAAATTGATTCGTTACCATTTGAAAAGAAAATGGACAAAGCCACCATTACCGAAGTAGGCAAACCTAGCCAAAGGAAGAATGTCCTCATAGTAGGACGTCTGATCATCGAATAATAACTTCAGAAATAACGAAAAAAACAAATTGTGCACTTACTAAATTATATAAAGTGAAAATTTTTTCAAAGAGCACTGAATCAATTTGGATAAAATTTATACGGAACCATCTCTGAAGTATGACCTGCCAAACAAATAATGAATTTTCAAAATCAATTCATAATTGGCAGAGTAATCGTGTAACAGACAAAAAATATATAAAACACATTATGCGTTCCTATAAAATTTGAGGGTCTCCCTCGATTTTTCTGGGATCCCACCATCAAATCCTGACTTGGTACCAATAGGACCACCCGGGAAGTATACCCTTTTAAAATAAAAACGAATTTTTCGAATCGGTCCAGGTGTCTGAATAATCGTAGAACATACATTTCTTTTTATAAAAAAAAGAAGTTCCGACGAATTGAGAATCTCCTTTTCTTGAAGTCGGGTATAAAGTGTGTAACTCCCGAAAAACTCATACCTTTATCCTTATCCTTATCCTTTCGATGTTACGTCCTAACCGATGGGACAATTTTTTATCCGTTTTCATTTCATTTTTCCAATCGACTGAGTGTGTGGTAGAATAGCACATATGCTGAAAAAAGTCACGGTTGAAAGGACCGCAGCACATGAGACATGTCCTGGCCGATCCTTGTACAAGTGGTACACTGTCAGAGGTCTCTCAAAAGTACCGCAAGGTACAATGGGACGCAACGAGGTATCGGGCTAATTATTCTCTCGTACGAGATGTGTGTTTGAATACACTAAACCACCACCACCACTACCTACTAGGGTTTGCGTTTATATGTATACATACGTAAGGTTACTACATCCTCGTATAACAACGATTTTATTAGGACTCTCGAGAGTCCACGCAAACGACGATGGCTTTTGAAAATGCTCGGTTGAAGAAATTCACGAGTGCACACCATCATCATGTCATCGTTCAAGTGTGTTGTCGTTACGCAACAATGGATTTCTAGATCTGTTTTGTGTGTGGCATTTATTGTCGTTTTGCAAGGGTAAAAAGGGTGACATTAAACAGATCGTTATTATAGGTAGTTTACGATGCACATTATATTTCCAATAAAATGAAGAAATGGAACAAATCTGCTACACTACTTGCAGAATCACAGTCAATATAGTGGCTTGAAAGATTTTATTTTCTAGTCAAACAATGACGTTTCACATTTGGGTGTTGAAAGGTCCTGATAGTCGATCTCATTGGATCACGCCAGACAGTTCCAAAGAATATGGACCAACACTATTTGTCTATTCTTCCCAGATGGTATCGTACGTGGAAATGGTGGATCAAGGAGACTTCACATTTACAAAGCATTGTTAGAATTAACAATCTAACAAAAATGTTTAGAATCAGGAGAAAGAAAGGAAAATGATCGAATTAAGAATATAACAGTCGAATGTTTCAGTTCTTCCTGGAGTGAAAACATTATTCCGAAAACAAAAAGGTCCTCACAAAATTACCAGCAAAAATAATCAGATTTAATGTTAGATATCAATCCCTTAGACTGTCTAGTACTCTAAAAGCTCACGAATTACTGAATTTCTGTTAACGATTTTAATCCAATTTTCATTTTCATTTAGTTCTATTACCCTTCTAAACAGTTAGGTGATATATGCCAAGATCTAATAGATTTTGACAGGCTTTAACTGTTGCTTGGGTGGACGAAGGACTCAGATTTTGACTCTGGGTTTTCAAAATTCGAATTGTCCAATTCTGTGTTATGATCCTTTTAATTGATTTTTATGTTATCACAGGCGCAGCAATTGAAACAGGATTCCCAGTCCAATACTCGTGAAAACGATCTCTCTCTCTCTCTAGTGTCTGTATTTATTACCTACATTAAACTAGACTTAACACAAACTAACATTTCCAACAAGAATCTTTAACAAAATGCCTCATTGGCAACATTAACGCACATCAAAATCGCTAGGAATCCACACTCGAAATATAAAAGTTAAAAAACTTTTTATATACATATTCAAATAGATATCAAACCCTTAGACTATCTAGTACCCTAAAAGCTCACGACTTACTGAATTTCTAGTGACGATTTTAATCCTATTTTCATTTTCATTTAGTTCTATTACCTTTCTAAACAGTTAGGTGATATATGCCAAGATCTAATAGATTTTGACAGGCTTTAACTGTTGCTTGGGTGGACGAAGGACTCAGATTTTGACTCTGGGTTTTCAAAATTCGAATTGTCCAATTCTGTGTTATGATCCTTTTAATTGATTTACTTTATTGATTACGGAAAGAATAATAAATGTACAGTGAAAAGGGCGATCAAAGTGTGTTACAAATTCTTTGCTCTATCACTAAAATGTCCGCAAAACCCACGCGTAAAATGACATTAGTCACACTGCGTATCGCATTTTTACACCCAATTGCGGAAAATGTTCTCCTAGGGGCAGATTTTTATGCAATAACACATCAGCAAAATAACTAGCTACTATTAAACAATTCATCTCGGCCCCAAAGAAAAGCCTACAAGACGCGTTTAATGTTTGTCTTCAGTTTTGCCCCCCTAGTAATCCCTTATTTATCGGGTTGACTATAAAGTTGGCGCGTATTGCGCAAACAGGTGATTATGTTTTGTTCTGCGACAAATTGGAAATGTAATGGTTGTCGCTGTCTAATGTAACGTCATAGTGTCACCACTCCTGTTAGTAACACTGCACGTCCGTGACTAAAAAGGAACAGCTGCTTATTCGTCGTAGTATGCCGTGAATCAACGAATATCACCCCCTTAACAGGGAAAAATGTTCCAATTTCCACTGTAGAGATTGCGAAATCAGAATATGTACCCAGAGAAATTCTTTCAAACAATAAACCATTGCAAAATGACTATCTCTTTTGATTTATTTAAAACAACAAATGGAAACGATTGGATTTAAAATTTTTCGAATTTTCTTTAGGTACCTGGTACTTCGTCGGGTATATACGGGGAAACTACACATTAGATATTGTTTATAAACACGTCTCATATAATGACAGCGTTATTGCGATGAAATATCAATGTGCAACGAACAGGAGTAGTAGGTATCGTTTATAATGGCATTGGATATTATGACGACAGTAATATAGACAGTGAAATTATCTATTACATATACCAATAGACTCTAGAAAATGACGGAGAAGTACCATGCACAGAATTAACTAGAGGAACTACCAACTTTACGATTTATAGAAACGTCTTCCTCCATTATTTCCTTTATGAGTTAACGATAAACGTATCAATCACTTAGTTTTAGACATTGGCGAAGTTACCAAATACCAATATTGAAGATGCATATTCAACAATTTTCCACATTCGGGATTTTCTTTGATATCGTTAAACTCAATTTTTGATGACAGATTTAAAGCAATTTTTCTCATACTTGTTATAGATAATAAAACATTTTTGAATTTCTCTTTTTCGGTTTGCAACACCTTTCTTTTACTTTTTAGGGTTCCGTACGTCCGAATGAAAAACGGAACCCTTACAGATCACTCGTGTGTCTGTCGGCCCGTTTTTTTATGGTCCAGTACTTTCGGAATATCGAAAAATTGTGAGATAAGTTTCGATGTTCACGTAATATTAATATACATGTAAGATTACTGAAGCGAATTCATAGAAATAGAGAGGGGGGCGCCCCCCTTTGAAGTAGCTGTTTTGAATAAAACGAGACGTTTCGGATTAAGTCAGTGGGGTGAAACAGATCCGCAGGTGGCGAGCTTCGAGCACGTGCCGCAGACAATGGGATGACTCTCTCCGGACGACGCTCACGGCGCCCGCCGTCCACTTTCGATGTCAGGATTAAAACTTTACGTACGTTCACGTGCCGAAAATTCACTCCCGGTCAGGTAGAAAATAGGAACGCACGGCGTACACATTTGTGACGCAAAATACGCCACACGCCTCCAACAATATCGACCTTTTACCCGCTGATAAATACTCCAAGGGTCAAGCGGCATGGATCAAAGAGTTAGTGAAATATTCCAGGATACAGGACGTCCCATATGAAATTACCCACCAATAATCATCATCATCATCAGGTCGTCAGTCCTAAGACTGGTTGGACACGTACCTCCACTCTTTCTTATCCTAAGCTAAATTTCGCATTTCCCTAAAACTAGAACAATCCACATCCTTAAC